CTCTTCAGCCTCTCCATCTTGGCCCTCTTTCCCTTGGTAGCATTGGCCTCCTCGGTTTTGGAGCTTAAGCCTTCCTTCAAATTATTTATTTGCTCCTCAAAGACAGACTCGCTGCTCGGTAGCAGCAAGTACAACGTCGTGGAGCTCGGCCCACTTAGTCTTAGCCTCTTGAAGTTGCTCGTGTAATTGAGTAGCTTCTTGGCTGTGGGCCATTTTATCTTGCTTGCTCTGCTGCAACCGAGCATCAATCTTTCCATCTTAGCAACTTTTGCCTCCAACAGCGGGAGGCATGCATCGAGTTGGTTCCTTTCGGCCAACAATTGATCCCGCTCGGAAGCAAGTTCATGCTTATCGAGGATCAGTCTTTGCAGGCCATCGGAAGCGAGAAAGTTGGCCTATAAAAAAGAGTATCAAAGTTAGGATTTATATTGCAGCAACTAAATGGAAAAGAAGATATAAGAAAGCAAGTATGATACAGCTATTGCCTTGTGCATGGAATTGTTTAACAAGAATTCTCCCGAAAGGGAGCACATTATCTTCCAATATTTTTCGGAAGCCAGCGACTTTAGATAGTTCGCAAGCTCTACCGTCTTGGAAAACAGATGGCACTTCTTCGAATCGAAAGAGTGGTACTTCTCCTCCCTTGAGGATCTATGGAAGGGGTGAATAATTGTGCCCTAAATTCCCATGGTCAGGATACCAAGAAGGAGAAGCATCCCTTTCTCGAACATTTATTGCTAGTCGAGGAGATGCAGTTGGTACTGGGGGTGAAGGTGCAACTGGTGTTGAGGGGCATAAAGTTGCTAGTGTGAAAGGATGAGAAGCAGCTATGGCAGGGGCAGTGCTAATTGTTGTTTACTGGATGGTCGAAGGCAGACGAGGCACAGGGTACGAACTCCTTGGACCAGAGGCAGCAATGGGGATTGGAAAGCAAGAATCGGCATTATCCACCAAGTCCATCTCGCCCCAAAGAGATTGGGTCTCTCCTGTGGACGGGTTTTGAAGCTCCCCCGGTTGAGCATCCAGTTGAGCTGATGAAGATCTTTTCCTCTTTTGAAGGGAAGCTTCTCCACCACTAGCTTCCTCTTCATCATCGAGGACCACTGTGACAATGGCCAGCTCGGTCGTTGTTTCATTTATCTTCTTCCTTTAACCCCAGCTGAGGAAGAGCGTCATATTTTTAGTTACTTGTTCTCGAGTTGGGGACTCCGAGAAGAGGCACCCTCACCGGGGTCAACTAAGACATCAACCTCGGGGCAGGTCACAGAGCCTTGCAGTAGTCCTGAATCAAACAAAAAGCGGGTTAGCAACTTTTTTATGAAGTTATCTGTGTTCATACAAAGATAAAAGGAAAAAGAACTCAGATTACAATAATTTTTGGCCTTCCACATGTATTTGAGGGCCATCTCCTTCCACCGACGGGATTCTGGTGTTGTGATTTTAAGAATTTTCTGGACCCACTGGTCCAGACCTTGAACTCGTGGTGGCTCCCATCGGGTAGCTAGAACAAAAGAAATAAGAAGATCATTAACAACTGGAAACAGTCTTTTCATGAAGGAAAGAAATGAATCGAAAACTTACGGAAACTATTCCATGACTTAGGAAAAGACGGAGTTGTGGCCGGGATAATGTCCCTAGTAGCGATAATGACGAATCGCTCCATCCACCCACGGTCATTGTCATCATCCACGCTGGTGAGAATAGCGTGGTGGTCGCGTTTGCTAAAGTTTATTACTCCCCCATGGAAAATTTTAGGAGAGTAAAGATTTATCATGCGTTCAAGGGTTAGGGTTTCCCCAGTCTCCGTGCTCACTTGGCGAAGGCAAGCCACTGTTCGCCATAACGATGGGCCTATTTGTGCTAGGGAGAACTGGTACCGGTAGCAAAACTCCAAAATAATAGGGTCGACATTCGACCACAGGGAGAATTGCCTAAGGTAAAGGGATACGTATAGACATACGTAAAACCCTTCTTGGTAAAGGTAACCCGTTTTGTCATGTCCGGAGCAAGTAATGTAAGATCAGGGCAGTTGCAGTTCTTATTCGCATTATGGATACTAGAAGGACGAATGGAGGAGGAATACCTACTAACAACCCAAGTCTATGAAGACGCAATAGGGGCCTTCTCTTGGAAGTCATTAGTAGTACTGAGGTATTTTGGTATGATGGTGCTTACAGTAGGAGGTTTAAAATCGACGTCAGTTTCTTTGTCCTTGTTTCTCTTTGGGCCTCCACCTTAGAGGAGACCAGAGTTTCCAAAAAGGGTAATGAAAGAAGCCATGGTAATAATGAGTCAGAATTTTTTTTGTTAAGAGCGTTGAAGAAGATGGAAAAATCTCTAAGAAAATATAGAGTAAGTATGGAGAAGAAGAGGGACTTACGAAAATTAAGACTTAGGAAGTAAAGAAGTAAAGCAATGTGCAGAAGTAAAGATATAGACAGTAAAAAGTGTGGTCATGATTACCTGGAAAACTGGAAAAAAAATATTTGTTGAATCGTGGAACAACACGTGTTCGGGGTATTAAATGCGAGAAGACGTGCGTCCTTTCAAGCGTCAGAAACTGTTCAGGACTTTCCCGCCAAGAAAAGGATCTTTATCAACTTCCTGGTAACACAAAGATATGTCACCGGAAAGCAGGGGGACTATTTGTATGGGGTAAAATTGGTTTATAATAAATGATCGAATGATACGTGGAACCGAAGACAGGTAAAGGCGAGTCAAGTAACAATCAGTACCGGATATGACAACTACAATCGATATCTGATAAAACCCAAAGGGAGCATCGTCAACGGGAGCAAACCGAGTATTTGTCATCGGATAGCATTCAATGAGAGGATATTTTCTAATATAAAATGAGCAACTGTTACAGAAAATATTTACATTCATGGCCTGCTATTACATATTCATCAATGACTCCTTTGTTATCATTTTAGTGGGGCCTGACCCTAGGATCTTGTTTCCCTAGGTATAACTATAAATAGCAGGCCCAGCAGCCATTGTAAGAAACGAAATTCTTGTCAAACACATGCTATATTACTTTTGCTCTTAATTAGATAACTTTACTTGTTCTTATCATTGCCTTCACTTTTGTCCTTGGAGACATTGTGCTCGGAGCTAGGCTTGTCATCTTCTTCAATTTCAATTGCTAAATCTCGTTTTTAATCTTATTTCTTTATCATTTTTGAATCAAATCAGTTCGATTGTCTATAAACCACATCTCCATAGTGTCATGTTAAGTTGTCACTTACAATGGAGTACAATAGATTGGTATCATTGTTATGTAATAAAATGAGTGTGAGCAAACGTTCTGTGAATATTAAAGTGACCGGAAGATATCCCTATTATGTGACTTCGCAAGGGGTTGCTTGTTATGCTGCGTTTAACATCGAAGACGATGAAACTCTGAAAGATTTTTTGAGGACTCTAGATGAATACCGGAAATCTATTGTGATAAAACTGTTGGAAATGTACGTCAAGGCTGAAGATGTTCGCAATAATGAGGTTACGCAAAGTAGGGATATCCCTCAATCACCGGGTGGTTATTTTGGAGCAGTTTTAGCCGAACAGGTTCCGACTGAAAGAGTTTGGCATGATCTAAACTTATCTCCACGAGCGAATGGGGAGCGAGGAAATAATTTCTCCCCTAGTTTACGTAATCCACAAGCAGAGTGGTAAACATCAACTTTTCTTTGTATTACGATGTATATTTTTGTGTATTGAATTTGTATTAACACTCATATATTCCACATGGGGTACCGACCACATATGAATTTTACAAGTTATGAACCAACGGCCAGTTGGAATATGCCTAGTTTTGGTGTGTTGGATCATGGTGGTCCATCCGGGAGTCATCATCAACAGGATAATGTGCATCATGGGATATCAACACATTATGATTTGTAAGTGAATATATAAAGTTATATAAAGTTTGGACCAATTTGAGTAACTCATTATTTTGTTGGTTGTGCAGTGAAAACGAGTAACTTGTTGGTCTTGTCCTTACTTAATTGCCCGAAGACGATATATTTAATCGAGATCTGGCAAATGTGCAAAGTTGGGAAGAGAATAGTGATTATGACGACAATGCCGATGAGTCTGGAGATGACACATCCTTTCCTGACGAGGGTGATGATGAAGAGGAAGAGAATGCTGAACCTGATTTGACGAGGGAGCATGCTCCACCTCCCATTAGACCAAGAGTGTACGTGTCCCACGTGCCATTTCATTCAAGGCACATTCCCTACCTTGATCATTTGCCAAGTATGCCGGATATGGATGCCCTCACAAGGGATATTGACGAAATTCTGACAGCAATGTGAGATGAACTTAGACCAACGGTGCTGTCAAAGGGCATGCTTTTTCCTGATAAAGCGCAACGTACAATGTAAAAGAGTGCCGTGAAATGATGATATGGGAGTCATCTCCGGATGTATACAAGGTTAAGAGCCAAACGGCTGTTAAGGTATAGCGTCTTTTAAGAGCCAAATAAAGCACTAGCTAAGATAGCCCGTCCGAAAGGCATGCTATTGATGTTAGTGTTACGTCGAAAGGTTAGAATTTTGGGAGAATGGCACAATATAATCATTTGGCGCCACCATTTAAATTTTGATTCCACTACGAAAGTCTTGGAAAAATAATCGTTGGTCAGAATTTTGAAGCACGAAAGTTTCAATAATTATTGGGCAAATCTTATTGTGATTCGTCAAAATTCTAACGGTTGCCATAATTTTGCAAGTTATGGTAATAGTCACAAAATTCTAACAGTTGCCATAATTTTGCAAGTTATGGTGATAGTCACAAAATTCTAACGGTTGCCATATTTTTGTGCAATTGGCTACAAAATTCTGACCGATCAACAAATTTCTTCGCATTGTGGGTTAAAATTCTAGTAATCATCAAAATTCCTGGTACTTCAAAATTCTGACCGACGTGCTTTAAAATTCTATCGCGGGGCTATTTTTCCAAATCTTTAATTTAAATAGGAAGTACATTTGTTGAGATTACCAAAATGAGGAATACTAAGATTATATATTAGAAAGATTCATAAATATGAAAACTTCACAAATGATCCAATTCTAGTAAACTTGAGCAGAACTTGGTGCAGAGTAGAAGTTGAAGAAGGCTACCGAAAAGCTTCCCTCTAGCAACTGCGAGTGCGAACGCAACTATTTTCTGTGCAGTTCCTTTTTGGTATTGCTCTTGACTGCTTCTTATCTTTATACAACTGCAATCAAGAAAGAGAATGTGAATCAGTGCACGGATTATCTAGCTCACTGTTTACGAACTTAAGCTGTAAGTTATATCATATTTCAAGTTAAGCTGAAGGAAACTAACTAAATGGGATTGTTCCAATCACCAAATCATTAAGGAGCATATAGATTAGTCTAATAAATTTCAAATTAAGATGACAAATCTAGAACTTAGGTTGTACTAAACAAACCAGTTTAAATACAATACTGAATCACAAGTCTCCTCAAACTTTGGAAGCAATATGAAAATTTTCAAGAAATCCTACTATGCCTTCATGTAGACTTTTTTTTTAGTAGGTAAAGCAAAATTTCTCTTGATAAAACAGTACCAACGAGGTACTGAAATGTTACAAAAAGCTGGACTCCATCAAACACTACGCAAAAATTGTATCTAGAGAGCCCATAAACACTATGCCTTAATGTAGACTTTGTAATCATCTTACAAATATCAGTTCACAAGCAGTAAACAGAAGCTGTAAAGATTCAGTAGATAGACCCGTCATATCATCTTTCCACAAATGATGCGCCTCAATGCCAGATTGCCATTATCGTAGTGTATTATATATCCTTTTTCTCTTTGTATTGGAAGTCAGAGCAAGCATCGAGTGCCAAAAGGTAAGTGATAAAGAAATGTTTGCTTGGAATCCTCACTTCACTTTCTCGTGCATGGATGCTCAACATCAAAGTTTTAGTCAGCGGAGGTGAATGCAGGGTGGAGAAAGAAAGAAGGAGAAAAGGGAGAACCCGAGACTAGACCAAGTTATAATTTTGTTGATTATAATGCAAGAGGAAATCAAACTGTTCCAAGCCATTTTAATCAGCTCAGATATCTTTGATATTGTTTGTTGAAGTAAAACCAAGGTCTACTTCCTTGACAAATTGAAAACCAAGGTAGTTAAATTACATCTATAATTATCCTTGATTCTCTACAAAATCACCTACTAGGACTTTGATTCTGGGGAGACGAGTTCAGACCAAGGCTCTCACCCAGATTGTTTCATATAGTCACAGGATTATCTCAAAAAAGAAAACACAATCTCTTATGTTTTCTGCTACTAATGCAATTTTTTGAATTATGCTCGCTGGACGCAATTAACCCCTACAAAAGCTAAACTATTAGGAATAGCATTGAGGAAAAAAATATCATGCTAAGAGAGCAAATAGGATGTCAATTTCCAATCTGTAAGGGAATCATTGAATGGAACAGGAAAGAACTGGCTTTTTTTCCCTATATCGAGTTTTCTGTTATTTTCTTACATCGTGGAAAAGTGTTCCACAAACAGTATTTTAGAGCATTTGGACAGTCCAAAAAGCGCAAGAGAGAGGCTATTGAATGGAACTATAGCAGTAGTTAGATGGAAAGTAAAGGTCTAGTATAAGATTGTATTCTCAAAGGTCTGGCGAAATGAATTTTTCTCCAGAAGGCATTCCACCGTCTAACATGTTCCAACCCTATGATGTACTTGCGCAAAAATGAAGGTGCCTACAAATCAATACTTGCTCAGAGGTTAAACAAGGAAAAGTGATGATAATCAGAAGTGATAACAAGATTGCAAAAGGAATGTGCAGCTTTTAGCTTGTCAAAAATCCACTTCACCTTCTCTTAAGTACTTTAAAGAGAGTCCACAACAAAAATAACCATCGGAGATTGTTGAAGTTAGAGCTCATATGTTGATTTAGTGTTTGGAAATTCAGGAAATAGTATTATCTTTTAATTATCAAATAAGAATGATTGCTAACCCATGGCAGACAGATAATATGAATCTAGCAAATAATCAAGAAAGAAAAGAATACTCATTCTCTCATTCTAGTTTAAGAAAGTAAATTGATTGACTTTTGTTTTCAGATGCACTGCTTACATCTGTATGTTAACGTGATAGATTTAAGACCTTAAGCGCTTTTAAATTAATTTTTAAAAAATACTCTTTTTTCCCTCTATGTGCTCATTTAAATTAATTATAACTTTCGAGAGGTCTTACTCTTTGCTCAAAAATAAACCTTTTTCCCAAAAAAGAAAAGAAAAAAAAAACTTGGTATTAGACAAATTTTGTTGAAGCTTCTACCTTTTACATAATACAGCAAATAAATCTCACTCTTGATTTATATAAGCAATAATTATGCAGTCAGAGAAACAGAACACTGGGTGTGGAATGTGAAGCAAACCAAAAGTAATTATGCACCACCCTCGTGATAACCATACCAGTTTCTCCAACGACCATTTTACTCCTGACACACCACTGTAGACGGAGAGGGAATAAGGGACAATTTGTCGAATACCAATTTAACGTAGGGACATGAGTGGAATTCTGATGAATATCGGCATTCTTTTTTTTTTTCTTTTTTTTTTGCCAAGGCTGTGCAGCAACCTACAAAATGACAAAACAGAAAAGAATTACTAATGGCTTAAGGACAAACTACCCAATCCAAATAACATCGTTGTTCGAACTTCCAACTCTCACTTATATATAGGAAATAATTAGTCTATTAGATAACATGCTAGTTAGTTTTCAACCTGAAATTGTCTTAATAAAAAAATGCCTCTCCAGATTGATCATTACTTTATGTTAAAAAGAGCTACTCCGTCCCTCCCAATTTATGTGGCAAAGTTTAATTGGACAGATAAAAAGGACATTGTGCCTAAGGAATTAGGGCATCAGGGATCTACAAGCACACAATAAAGCTATGCTCTCAAGATGGCTATGGAGATATGGACAGGAGGAATCTAGGCTATGGAAGGATATCATAGTTGCTAAATATGGAGCACACAACCACTGGTGTTCCAAGAAAACACACACTCCTTATGGAGTTGGCCTGTGGAAGAACATCAGCAACCACTGGGATGAATTTTTCCAAAATGTAACTTTCAAAGTTGGGAATGGAACTCGTATTAAGTTTTGGAAGGATAGATGGATCGGAAATACACCTTTGAAAGACATGTTTCCCAATATGTATCAGATTGCTTTGAACATAGACTCCACTGTTGCTCAAAATAGAGACAATGGCACTTGGTGCCCACTTTTCAGAAGAAATTTGCAGGATTGGGAGGTCAGCAGCCTACTCACAATGTTAAGCTCCCTAGAAGGTCATAACACCGAAGATCAACAGCCTGACAAACTTATTTGGGGAAATTCTAAGAGAGGCAAGTACACATTCAAAGAAGGATACATTCACCTCTGTGGCCAGAATCCAATGATAGATAAGTGGACATGGAACCACATCTGGAGAACTAAAGTGCCTACCACGGTGACTTGCTTCACATGGTTGTCTCTAAATGGGGCCTGTCTCACTCAAGACAACTTAATCAAGCAGAACATCACACTAGTTAATAGATGCTACATGTGCCAACAACAGTCAGAAAGTGTAAACCACCTATTCATCCACTGCTCAGTTGCAAAAGAAATTTGGAACTTCTATACTACCTTTGGTCTGAAATGGGTTATGCCACAATCAACAAAAGCTTTTGAAAGTTGGTATTTTTGGAGAGTTGACAAATCCATCAGAAAAATCTGGAAAATGGTGCCAGCTGCAATATTTTGGTGTATTTGGAAAGAAAGGAACCGAAGATGTTTTGATGGCATTTCAACTCCACTCTACTCCCGCAAGGCTGCGTGTTTAGTTAACTTATTTAGCTGGAACTATCTCACCCCTGTTACTAGTGCTGATACTTTTGTGGATTTCATTAGCTCCCTGAGAGCAGCATAGGCTTTTGTATATGGAGCTAATTATCCTATCTCTTTTGTACTCTTTGCATCTTCTTGATGCCCTTTAATGAATCTAATTTATTTCATCAAAAAAAAAAAAAAAAAAAGGAAAGTGTGCCACATAAAATGGGACAATGGAAATACTATTTTCTTCACTACTTGAACCAAAGGAAATTCTTCTTTTACCAACTTATTTCTACATCTTGGAACTCTTAAATTTGTGGACCCCAGGTGGGATCAAGGGCGGGTCTAAGGTAAGGCAGATAAAGCCTTTGCCTCAGGCCCCGAAATAGTAAGGGCCCCAAAATTACAAAATACTATATTAGTATTATATATAATTCAAAATTTATACAAATATTATTAATAAAAAATTCAAATTTTTACATTTTTAAAATATTGATTGAGGTTGCTATTGAGTGAGTAAATAACGATAAATTTTTTCTCGCATTAAAAAATAGCATATTTACCTTCTCATCAATTCTAATTCCTCTTCCTCTTTGTATACTCTTTCTTCTCTTCATGTTTTTGATGATTTTACTCTCTAATTTCAACTCGAAATCTCTGAATTAGCTAATTATTTTTTGTCATATTTTATTTATTCATGCATCAGAATGCAAGTTCTTTTATGTCTCATCTGTTTTAATAAAGAAATTCTCCAGGACAGTGGCGCAAGATTCGTACTCAATGGATAATGAGCTGAATCCTCTACCTATTTCTAAATATCATGCTTTTATCCACCGGAGAGTTCGAAACCGTGATGTGAGCCTAACATCATCACGCGTTGGGCTCGTATCATAGAAAGTCATGTGGGTTTCTTTTGTGCCTTATTATCAGATGAATATTATGAAAATTTAAGGGCCTTTTAATATATTTTGGCTTTAGGCCACAAAATTAGTTGAGCTGCCCCTGGGCGGGACCATCGGCCCAGCCACCAAACTATATTCCAAATAATACCGAAGTGGGATTAGAGCACCATGTAACTTAGGCAGTATGATAAACCATGGTTTTTCTTCATGTCTTCAGCATTCGGTCATCTTAATCAGTCAGCTATGACGGAAACTTAAAACTAAAAGGGGAAAAAAAACAAACAAAAGGCAATGCTATAAGCTTTTATTTATAACTTCCTAATGAATATGGTACAGAAATCTCTAGCCTTCTCAAACATCCGTCTTGTATAATAATGGATAGCAGCAGCTGTGCACATTGAGAGATTTTTCCTTACTGGACTTGAGCTCAGGTAATATACTTTATTCACCTTTTCTGCAGCATTGGTTCTTCAGTCGACCACTAAATACTAATTAGCCTACAGTAGCCGTATAAGTGATTCAAAAAAAACAGGATGGAATTAGTACCATACTTAGTACACTCTTCACTGGGATTAATCAAAGGCAAAGAGGAAAAGTATTATATTCAAGTCCAAATGAAAACTACATTACTTGAATGGAAAAAAATACTTATGAAATTCAACACCCACAACAATTTGGCAAGGAAAAGGTTATGGTTGAAAGTGATGGAAAACTGTTAGATCCACCAAAATAGGAAAGGATATGATTCGTAAAAGAGAGATAAGAAAACTCACAAGACAACTTAGTAGTCTTCATCTTCGGAATAAGAGCCATCGACGTATTGGTCATATATCTGATATTCTCCAAGACTCTGATCATCTTGCACTTCATCCACTCCCGCTGTACTGAATGGAAAATTACCAAAGAGCTCTTGCAAGTAATCTCTTGAAACATTATCGTGGTTTGTGTCTGGGCAGCATATAGGAAAATTAGAATTTTGGGTAACTACTATCCGGCTCCAACAAAAACCTTGGCACACAATTCCAGTGTTTATAAACCAGAAGTTCATGGCTAGAAGACCCTAGAAAGGAAAAGGAGAAAGGAAAATTGCTCTAAACCACAAAATTAGACCTTAGAGGTACTTGAGCATCAAAAGTAACATATTGATCACTCCATGTAATTTCTATCTTCATTCCAATGCAACGAAAGGAATGTCTATTTTTTACCCAAAAAGAACTACTCTTTTTTTTTTAATAACCATGGTATCCAAACCAGCTTGCATGCACCTCAACTAATTCGACAAGGCCAAAAAGAACTTCTCTTTTATCACACAAAAAAGAAATCATCACTTTACAACACAATGTTCTATAACGACCCGACTAGTCGTTTTGCGTTCTAGCATTTTGTTTCGAGATTTGAGACTTCGAGTAAGCTCATTTGATGTTTTATGACTTGAATATAGGGTTGGTTTTGATTTTCAAGAGGTTCGGGAATGTTTTGGAAGATAAATTCTTATTTTGGAAGCTTTAAGTCGGAAGAGTTGACCATGGTTTGACTTTTGTGTAAACGACTCCGCATTGTGGATTTGAAGGTTCTAATAGGTTCTTATGATGATTTTGGAACTCGTAAGAATTTTTAGTTCGGGCCTCGGGTGGCTCGGGATTGATTCGACGCTTCTATTTGAAAGTTGAAATCTATGAACTTAAGAGAGTTGCATAATTTGGACTGACCATTGATTCTTGATTTTGATGTTATTATTCGTGTTTTGAGCCTTTCGATAAGTTTGAGTAAAAATGAACTTGTTAGGATGATTGGACGGGGACCGGAGGAGCTCACGTGAGTTTCGGGGTGGTTTCGGATCATTTTGAGCTAAGTTGATTGTTGGTTTTTCTATTGTCAGTGATGCTCTTCGCGATAGCGAGGTGTGTGTCATGATCGCGTAGAGGGACAGTGGCAAGTAGAATTTTGTTCACCACGATCGCGCGGAAGCTGTCCGTGATCCCGTAGGTCGATTGGTGAAGTTTCGCGGTCGCGAGCATTATTATGCGATCGCGTAGTAGACTTCTGGGACTGGAGGTGTTACTCTCTGCGATCGGGTGCGCAGGGTTGCGAATGAATACGTGTCTGCCAGTGACACTTTGTGATCACATAGGTGTGCCCATGCAATCGCGAACTCGATGCATTATTTGGTTCCGCGGTATTTTATGTCCAAAATTTTGAGAATTGTTCATTTTGCACTATTTTGAGTTTCGGAGAACGTGAGGAGGCGATTTTGGAGATGGATTTTGTGAGAAAGCACGGGAGAAAAATATATTATTAATCACTTGATTATAATACAATGAGCCCTATTTATAACTATATACAATACATATCTTACTCCTATTCTATGTGGGACTAGGACTAATTACATATTAATTACATAACTATCTAACACTTTCCCTCGAACCGGTGCATACAAATCATATGTACTGAGCTTATTACATATGTAACTAATACAAGGACCAGTGAGGGACTTGGTGAAAATATGTGCAAGCTTGTCATTCGACTTCACAAACTTTGTAGCAATATCTCCTAAGCGTATTTTTCACAAACGAAGTGATAGTCAATCCCAATGTGCTTAGCCTTGGACAGAGTTATCCAACACTTGTGCTGGTTGAGGTAGTTGATATACCATAGGTGTGCAAGTTCGTCCAAACCCCACTGTTATCTTCTTCTTTTTTTTAAGAAAAAAGAGATTGACTAGACCGGTTGCTAAGCTTTCCAATAGAAACTAGCTACTCCCCTCTACCTTTATGTTCAATATCATGTAAACTATTGCAGATAGTTACTTATACTCCCTCTATTTCAATTTATGTGAACTTATTTGATTGGGCACGGAGTTTAAGAAAAAAGAAAAGATTTTTGAACTTGTGATGTAAAATGAGGCATATTGCATTAAGGTAAATTGTTTTCAAATATGGAAAGGGGTCATTCTTTTTGGCACGGATTAAAAAGGAAATAGGTTCACATAAATTGAAATAGAGGAAGTATCTTTTTAAGACAACAACTTTTCATGTAGACTTCATGTAACTACAGCATTCTACCCTCTAGTTCTTCTTTATTAATTGCTCTCCTGCTTCTTTTATCAGGCTGTGAGAAGAAAAAACAAAATTATTAAAGATGAGTATCTGCAAATTTTCCTAGAAGAATCATTTTTCCTATACTTCGTGAAAATCTCTTGCAGGTTTGATGATCATTCAACTAATACCATCCATCAGCATGTAAGCATAAAAGAAGAATGACATAATAATAGCCTGTTTGGCCAAGCTTCTTTTTGGCCAAAAGTGCTTGTTTTGGCCAAAAGTGCTTTTGGCCAAAAATTGAGGTGTTTGGCCACGCTTTTGGAAGGAAAAAAAGTGTTTTTAAGGAGAAACAGAAGCAGTTTTGGAGAAGCAAAAAAAAGTAGTTTCTCTCCAAAAGCACTTTTTTGAGAAGCACTTTTGAGAAAAATACACTTAGAAGCAATTTTTTAAAGCTTGGCCAAACATTAATTGTTGCTCAGAAGTGCTTTTCAAACTAATTATCCAAACACAAACTGCTTCTCACCAAAAGTACTTTTGAGAAAAGTACTTTTGAAAAAAAACACTTCTCAAAATAAGCTGATTTTTGCAGCTTGGCCAAACGGGTTATAAATCTGATTGAGCATGGTTTTGTTCCAAGGATACGTGGATCATCATGTATAGAGACATCCCCTTCCTGGCCAACCTAAGAAGACAAGGCATTAGTTGACTTTACAATGAGAAGGATGCTTATCACAAATTGCTTATGAATGCATCATCTCAAATATAAATATCATCTTACAAGGTCAAGAGGTTCACATGCATCCATCTCATCTTCAACATTATCATCCTCAAAGTCATCTTCATCATCTTCTAAATAATCAGGTTCATCAACTTCATTGTTTTCTGCTTTGTCATCGACTTCATTGTTTTCAGCTTCTGACATTTCAAGGAATTTATAGGAGAAAAACTTGAGTAAAGGCTCCGATGTGACAATAATGACAACTAGCTGGAAGATAAAAATATACCAAAAGTAAGGTAAAATCTGGAAGCCTGAAAGTACTCCAGAGAGCAAATCAGCTGTAGGGATAATTTTAGCTTAACAATTAAATTTCATGACAGATAATTACGTCAATGTTTAAGATTCATGATAGACTACAAATAACTCCAACTGTTTTCAACCTTTATGGACTTTTCCTTGCTCTTCAGATCTTGTAACTTTCACACAAGTGTGAATCCTCTTCGACTTCTCAAAGCGGGCAGACACAGTTTTTAGTAAAGACTCTGCATCGGGATGAGGGCATACTGACATAAATCTCACAGCAATGCACAGTCTCAAGCAATCAAGAATATGAGAGGAGAACCATCCTGTTGTATTCTGCAAATAAAGTTATCAGAAGAAAAGTACCATTGGTGATTGCTTCAAGTATTTGTCAGAATACACAAAGATAACTACATTTATGCAAATCGGAATTGTTTAAAGTACAAAAGAAGTGAGTTACTAAAGGAAAACCCCCAGGGCCCAAACCCCCAAGAGGCAAAATCATATGTCCTTTCCACCTATCATCTGTTGTTAACATCCTCTCAGAGAAATTACAAGGAAAAAGGCACCAGGCAGAGCATGTAGGATATACTTAAAATGTTCATAGTAAAACATTCAATCTGAAAACCAAAAATAAAGAAATAAAGAAAGAGACCAAGGTGAAAAAGAAGTATCAAGAGATAACATGAACGTGAGCACAATAAAATAAAAAAATTAAACAATCAGTCTCTAGTGGACAAATCTGTTTGCTTCTCTCCTGAACCAGAGTGACTTCTAATCCTCAAGATTGTCAAGTCAATAGTTAGATTTGATTATCTTTCAGCACAAGAGATCTCATGAGCAGAAATATGACTTTTAGAATGAATGAGTGTGAGTATGCACACACGCAAATATGTTATTATCGCAAAGATAGTCCGCACGTTTTCATTTCTCCACTCACTCAATTGGTATTGACAAAGATGAATTGCAAGTCTTTTTGAACTTTCATGGGGAAAGGCAAACATGAAATTTGCTGTATGAGAGCTATTCAGACTCAAGAGAATAGGCCACAGGTTTAACTCAACTCCAAAAAATTAGCACCAGAGGTGAGAATTGTCCAAAACAATATAAAGAGATTACAACTATACCTCCGATCAATGTAGGACTCTAACACTCCCTCCCCTTCTACCCTAAGCTGCACATTAAAACTGGACATCTGGAATATGGATGACAAAGTGGTGCCTAACATTGAGTAACACAACACCAGGGATCCTCACGTATTCCACCCCAATTTAGAAACCAAGAAACCCATGCCTTCAAGTGGGCCATGTGACCAACTGTGTGTGATAGCCCAAAAGCTAGCTAACTAAACCCTGTCTTAAAGAAGACTTAGAACTTAGGATTTTTGTCTACTCTGGTCCATATTAAGAAAATGGACATAGGACCTAACTCAACCTCCAACACTAGCTCGTGAGGTGAGGATTGCCCAAGACCATATAAAAAGACTACAATTTATACTCTCAACCAATTTGGAACTCTAACACCAGAAAGCGGCGAAGAACAAAAGGTAACACAACATCGGGGACGTGTTTGGCTGTGATATCATGTTGAAGTGTGTGACCAACCCATCTAAGACACACTATATCTATTTAATGATATCTTCAACACGTTTCCCCACCTTCGGGCCTTGATTCTTTTCCATAGGCCAAATACGCAAAAATTTTGGCTTTTGGGGTTAATTAGTTCCAAAATTCATTTTCTTAACATGGTATCAACGTATCCAGAAGTCCTAGATTCAAGAAAGAGTCTACAGTCTATATGCGAAATTACTGCGGGACTCTAGAAACATTATTGTCCTGCCTTTTCAAAGAGACAATAAATTATTGAGATAAAGTGAATAGTCGAAGCATCACTCTGCTTCGTCCCTAAGTGAGAAACAAAGAAAATATGGAACAACATATCCATTAATTAAGAAACTACTTCATTACTTTATTAGTTTTCTACCATTATAAATTTATTATTCCAAGCAAATAGTAGACAAGAATTTACCATGTATACAGCAAGAAGTTACATACTTCCATTATCATAGTGGACAACATACACTTCAATCCTACTGAACAACTAAATGGTAACGGGGTTTCTGATTTGACGAAAGCAAGGGCATCACGAGCACCACAAACCATCCATGCATCAACGTGTCTAGCATACTATTAATAGCTTGTTGAAAAGAAATATTTTACTGAATGATAACATACATCGCAAGTTTCTTGATTTGAGGGTTTTCTGATTTCTTGTTGAATGTAGTTGTCCTTGAGTTCACAAAGTTGCAATGATATTTGACATTTATAAGGAAAAACACGGAAGGCACATATATCATCCCATCTATGTTTCAATCTGTAAAAAAAAGAAAATACGGCATAAAAAAGCCGATTAGCTGGCTGTCATTATCCATTAAACCAAATCAAATCGGGTTTATGTATGAGGATCATGTTGGCTAGTTCAGCACTAATTTAGTTCTATCCTAGTTAAGCGATGTGAATATCAAAGAAAAAAGTATTAGAAAGAAGCCCTGCAGAAAAGAAGTTAGCAACCCAGAGAAATAATACACGAGAAAAATATTATTGATGTATTAACAATGATACAACGAGCCCTATTACTCCTGCTACATGTGGGACTAGCACTAATTACACATAACTATCCAACACTCCCTCTCACGCCGGTGCACACAAATCATATGTACCGAGCTTGTTACATATGTAACTAATACGAGAAAAAATGAGGGACTTAATGAAAATATCTGCAAGATAACCACTCAACTTTACAAACTTTGTAGCAATATCTCCTGAGAGTATCTTTTCTCTGACAACGTAACAGTCAATATCAATGTGTTTAGTTCTCTCATGGAACACTGGATTTGATGCAATATGAACAGCAGCTTGATTTTCACACACAAGTTCCATCTGGCTGATTTCACCAAATTTCAACTCCTTGAGCAACTGTTTGATCCAAACTAGCTCACATGTTTCCATAGCTATTGCTAGATATTTTGCTTCTGCACTAGACCGAGCAACCGCATTCTGTTTCTTGCTCTTCCAAGACACCAAATTACCTCCTACTAAAACACAATATCCAGACGTAGAACGTCTATCAGAAGGTGATCCTGCCCAATCAGCATTTGAGTATCCAACGATCTGCTCATGGCCTTGATCCTTAAATAACAATCCTTTGCATGGAGCTGACTTCACATACCCAAGAATGTGGACAACTTCATCCCAATGACTATGACAGGGGGAATCCATAAACTGACTTACAACACTCACAGGAAAGGAAATGGCAGCTCTAGTCATTGTGAGGTAATTTAATTTACCAACCAGCCGCCTATATCTTGCAGGATCGCTAAGCGGCTCCCCCTGTTCGGGCAGAAGTTTAGAGTTAGGACCCATCAGAGTGTCAACAGTGAGTCATTCATGTCTCCTCAAGAATGTCTAAGGTGTACTTCCGTTGTGAGATCACAATACCTGAGCTAGACTGAGCGACCTCAATACCTAGAAAATACTTTAATCTGCCCGGATCCTTAGTCTGAAAGTGTTGAAAGAGATGTTGCTTCAACTTAGTAATATCATCCTGATCATTGCCTGTAATAACAATATCGTCAACACAAACCACTAGATAAATACAGAGATTTAAAGCAGAATGCCAATAAAACACAGAGTGATCAGTTTCACTATGAGTCATGCCAAACTCCCGGATAACTGTATTGAAACTTACCAAACCAGACTCGGGGAGACTGCTTTAGACCATAAAGTAACCAGCGCAAGCGACATACAAGGCCACTAGACTCCCCTGGAGCAACCAAACTAGGTGGTTACTCCATATAAACTTCATCCTTAAGATCACCATGAAGAAAAACATTCTTAATGTCCAAATGATAGAGAGGTCAATGGCGAACACCAGCCATGGATAGAAAAATGTGGATTGATGCTATTTTAGCCATGGAGAGAAAGTATTACTATAATCGAGCCCAAATATCTGAGTATATCCTTTAGCAACAAGACGGGCCTTAAGTCGATCAGCCTGGCCATCTGAACCAACTTTGACTGCATGTACCCAACGACAACGAATAGTAGATTTACCAGAAGAAAGAGGAACAAGCTCCCAAGTACCACTCATATGTAAAGCAGACATCTCGTCAATCATAGCATGTCGCCATCCTGGATGAGACAACACTTCACCTGTAGACTTAGGAATGGAAACAGAGGACAAGGGGGGACACACAAGCATAATGGGGTGATGATAGACGATGATAACTTAAATCAACATAATAGGGATTAAGATTAAGTGTGGTCTGTATACCTTTCCGAAGTGCAATCAATTGACTAGGAGAAGACCAGTCCGCAGTAGGAGCAAGGTCAGGTGCAGGACGTGAATCAGTTGTGCTTGATGCTAGGAGCGAACGACGACGATATGTCAAGAGTGGTGTTCCTGTGGCTGGGGATCTAGAAGGAGCAACATTAGCCTCAACGGTTGGTATAGGCAAGACTTCTATGGCTTAGGGTGTAGGAGGAGCTATAGTAAACTCCTCAAAGATTGGTATAGGTAAGACATCAAATACATCAAGGCGATCAGAAGAGGTAAAGTAAGGTCCAGACTCAAAAAATATGACGTCGGCTGACATAAGATACCTACGAAGATCAGGTGAGCAACAACGATATCCTTTTGAACACGAGAATGACTAAGGAAGACACACTTGAGAGCACGAGGAGCTAATTTATCTTTCCTATTGGCTAAGTTATGAACAAAACATATGCTCCCAAAAAACACGAGAGGGAAGAGAGTATAAGGCTGACCAAGAAAACAATACTGAATGCGGAATCTGATTCTTGATGAGAGAGGAAGGCATCCGATTAATCAAATAACAAGCTGTGAGAACTGCATCGCCCCAAAAACGCAATAGAACATGAGACTCAATAAGAAGTGTGAGAGCAGTCTCAATGTCTCCATATTTTCTGCCCAATCAAAAGGAAATTTGAAGAAAATTGCTGAAAAATAATATGCCTTGCCGGAAACCAAATCTGTCTTGGCGGAACCTTAACTCCGGTGAACGTAAAATCAAAACAGGTAGGGATAGGCTCGAAAAATTCCAGCGATCCCAATGGAAAAGAAAATTCCAAAAAAAAACTGACGAAAAGGAGTTTGTGTTGCGGACAACCATTAAGAGAGAGAAAACTCGACCTCTTTGATAAAAACAGAACTCTAGTGCTACGAGGGAGATAATTCACCTCAGAAAGGCAACAATGACTCTGATACCACGTAGATTTTGAGAAGAATAAAAGACTTATTGTATTTTTGTGTGTTTACATTCCATAAGCAAGGAAATTTATACAAAGCTCCTAATGCTAATTAAGGAGGAAAAAATCTATAAAATCAGTCCAGCTATCAAATCAAATCAAATTAAATTAAATCTTCTAAGTATAATCAAATCTCCTAAAATCATGCTAATCAACAATCTCCTAAATATAATCAAAACTCTTGAAATCATGCCAATCAACAAATATGCCATGGATTCACAACTTCTTTTGGAATGAAATATTGTACATGCGGGGAAGTAATACTCAAAATGTTACTTTCACACCATCTGTGTTCCCCAAAAACTCACTCTACTCCTACCCCCACCATATATGATACATTCTCATTAAACTCTTCCTAACCCTTTAAAATATTCCTCAATAGCCCACACCCATATGGGAGTGTAATATTTTTAGTTCTCCCTCCCCATCCCAAAACCCCACATTTCTCCGCAATCACCACTTCCAAAAGCATTCTCATGTACCCCAAATCCCCATGACCATTTCCCAAGTAACACCTTAATACTTATGTGAACCTGAAGTGGGAGCAAATAAGGCAAATTGAAAGGAAAAATGAAATAAGTTAATTTCTTCACATGTTAGTGAAATGCAATCCGTCGATTAAACATTCTAGAGAAATGAATTTCTGAAAGTTGGTGTTGCGGGTGAACAATAAGGGAAAGATGTCGATCACTTATTGTTGCATCATAGAGTGGCCTCAAAACTTTGGGCAGTGGTATTCTCGTTATAAAACTGAAACACATACCTCACCCGAATACAATGCAAGTTGGAGGTTAAGGAAGCTCGATCACATAAAGCAGCAATAAAGATACCATTGTCAAAAAAATGAACCTAGGGTCCAACTCTTTCCCCCAAAAACTAACTCATGAGGTAAAACTTACCCAAATTTGTATAAGAAGAAAACAATATATTCACTCCATCAAAGTGGGACACCCTAAACCCCTTGCACGCTCGAACCTGGACAACTAGAGCATACATAACATAAGGCCCAAAATTCGAAAACATAACAGTATGGCTATGGCTCTAATATCATGTTAAAAAAATGGAATTTGGGTCTAACTCAATCTGAAAAACTAGCTCATAAGGTGAGGATTGTCCAAAATAACATAAAGAGACAGTATCTCATTTCTTGAACTAATATGAGATACTCTAACACCCTTTGCATGCCCAGTTCTCGGAACTGGACATTTGGAGTGTGGACGATATAATATGAGGGCCTAACATTAGGTAAATCAAGATTAGGAATGGTTGACTCTTATACCATATTATAAAATGGACCTTAGACCTAACTCAACCTCAAAAGCTAGCTCATAAACTAAGAATCAACTGAGACCGTATAAAAAGATAACATCTCATTCCCTCAACTAAGCAGGACATTCTACCACACCTGGAATGCTTAGGGATGGCATCTGGAGCATGGAGAATATGACACGAGAACTCAACATTGGGTAAATTCATAATACTGATGCGTTTGGTTGCGGTATCTGTAAAGAAGATGGACATTAGGTATAACTCAACTCTAAAAGCTATCTCTTAATTTGAAAATTGCCCAAAATCATGTAAGGAAACAACAGCTCATTCCCTCAACTAATAGGGTACATTCTAGTAGCCATTATGCCTTTTTGGTTGACAATGTGGAACGGAAAGAAGAGAAGGATATTTCAAGGCAATGGCAAGTGTTGAGTCCCACATCAGTGGAATTTGGGTTTCTTGGTCTCCTTATATGGTCTTTGTTAGACCCTTGCCAAAGTTGATCGGCAAATGGTACGGCAGTGGCAAGGATTTGGCATGATGGCCTTGCCATTGGCCTATGTGCGGGGGAAATCAACATGCAAGACAATGCGGCCGTTGTCAATGGCAACAAACTGTTGCAAGGGTAAGTGTGACGGACTACACTACTATTAGAAGGCTAAGGTGTGACGGATTACACTAAAACACGAGTGGGTTCTGTGCAAGCAAAGGCCAAGGTCTTGACGGAACTAGGCAGGCTGGACGGAAGTTTGACAAGGCAAAGCGGGAAAAACCTAGGCGCTAAGACGAGGCAGCTTAGTGCCAAGGCAGTGGCATTGGCAATATGATGTTGCCTTGGCTTAGGTGAGCGGGCTGGCAGCCTGGCACCTAAGGAATTTGTGGGCAAATGACTTAGCAAGGGAATGGCATCATGGCTTGGTGACTTGATGCTAAAATCAGCTTGGCATTGGCAAAGGGCAGACTTGATCAAGTAGGGGTGACTTGACATGAACAAGCGGTTGTGGCAGCAGGCATGCGTGCAGCTAAGTCATGGGCGACAAGCTGTGGCTATGGCATTGAGTGGGAGCAGTGTCAAAGGGCAAGGTTGGGCGCAATGCCAGCCTTGGGCGTGCAGCAGATGGCCAGTAACGCGCACATGCAGCGCACATGCAGCGGTTGTCAAGTGTGCTGTGCACATGCTGTGCAGTTGGGCGGTTACAACTGCCATGTCCAAAGAGTTGCTGATAATGGGGCTAAGTCTATGCACGTTTTTAGGCATGTTTTAGCATGACATGCACGTTTTGATCATGGGTGATCATGGCCTATCAGTTGGGGGTGTCAGCTGAAATAGGAAAACTGAAAATGGGCTGACTACACTATATATATGTGTGTGCTAGCAGCCCCAAAAACGAGTCTAAGTACCTAGGGAGGGAAAATGAGTAAGATGTGGGCATAGGGTTGTCTATGTCAAGGCTTGAGCATGGCAAATTATGTGTCATTGCCTTGACAAGAGTGAGCAGCACGAAATGCCTTAGGCAGGGGCTTTTATAGGGCAGTTTGTGCAAGAGTCAGCAATTTTGTGAGTTGGTGTCTGCCAAGGGTGGCAGCACCTTGCCAAACTCCTGAGTTTTCTTTGTAATTCATATATTATAAAAGGTTGGGAAAGTTCCCGTAAATCTGCTTGTGCCTTTACTTATTTATGTTGCCTTGAAAATATTCTAAGTGTTAAACCTCCAAAGCGAAAGAAAATCGGAGTAAGGCTGAGCCAAGTTGAGACTTGACTGTCGCACAGCGGGCTGTTTTTCGGCGGACAGAAAACGCCCCTGTGACAGTCTTGGACAATCCTCACCTCATAAGCTAGCTTTTGGGGTTGAGTTAGGCTCAAGGTCCATTTATCATGGTATCATAGCCATGCACATCCCAATTTATTGTTACAGATGTTGGGCCTCCATTTATAATGTCCACGCTTCAATTTGCAAGCCTGGACGTGAGGGGGAGGGGGTGTTGAGTCCAACGTCGGTGGGATTTAGGTTTCTTGGTCTCCTTATATGGTCTTGGGCAATCATCACCTCATAAGCTAGATTTTGGGGTTAAGTTAGGCCCAAGGTCCATTTATTAGCAAGAATTCAAGGATTGTAAAGGATTCTTCTTTTTTCATTTCACTTATTTGGTGTAAGAAGGAACAGTTTGTCAAAAGATCAACACTAGCATGCAGTCTTACATTGTACATATATCTTTTGGCCCTCTTTTGGCATAAATGAAATGATATTTGACTAACTGAAAAGAAAATTTAAGACACTTTTACTTGGAACATTTGAAGTTTCCCATAATTACAAGATCCCTCTATGTCAATAGCTATATAATCCTTTTAGTACTATACTATTACTTGCGGTGGCCCTTTGACTTTTTGACCAACTCAAGCAAGATCTAAATATACAAACAGAGAAATTACTTTTCTCTCAACTTCTGAGTTAGTCACAAGAAATTAGTTTGATCAAAAGATGGAGAAAGAAAAGATAAGCAAGTTGTTTCGAGCTGTATCCTTATGGTCCTCTGACTTTTTACCGCTACTAACCGATAACAAAAATTTTGGGTGACGATGGGTGGCAGGCGAGACTCGTATTTCCTACCGCATCTCTCCTATCCCCTTACTTGATGTAAGGAGTGAGAACTTAAAGTCTAGGAATATCTCTTACTGACCATTTTCATTTGAATGTAATTTAGATGCTCTCTGAACCAAAACTCGGTGCGGCCATGACCACAGTAAAAGCAAGGGGCAGTTTTACAGCACAATCTCTAAACATATGGCTCCTCATAATGATTCATAGATCATGAAGACAGGAAATGATTGCAATTCTAAATACACCACACGGCTAGCCACATGATTGTTGTTTTCATGTTAACTTTAGCTAAATAAGCTAAAGGAAATTAATGTTTATCAATCTACTTAACTTTATAACTCGACAAAATTTACTCCAGTTTAGTCAGCAGAACACAACTCAAATAACTTGTATACCTTTTCCATCTGAACCAAACCTAACTATTTAAAGAGCTTCTAATACATTTCCCATCTGAAACCAGACCTATAGGACATATCTTGAGGTACTTCGGAAAACCAGAAAGTGCACTTCGCGCACCAAGCAAGCTTCTTTTAGTTTTAGATAATATAAATTCAAAGACGGATAAGGTTCAATGTGAGATGAAGATTACAGCATTCTCAACTACCGAGAGCTCATAAAGATATTTAAATTCTAAGAAACGCATAAGTGATATGAAGTTGTGAGAAGATTCAGTACCCAGAAGACGCATGACTCTCACAGTAGCTTCGTAATTCAGGGAGCACTCGGAAATCAATATTCTGGTATCTGTTAAACAAATTGCAAGAAGTAAGCACAAGCATAATGAAGAGTTCGAAAAAATTGCACCTAAAACTAACGTGTTAGAATTGATTTCAAGTACCTTAAGCAACACAAGAACAAGAAAAGTGCAAATAAGATACAAATGGATCACACACCTTTGGTTGATCCCACTTGTGGGGAAGAGGAATTAGCTCTATGTCAGAGGAAGAAGACAAATGGGAAGTGACAAATAAAGAGGGGAACAAAGGAGAAAATGGATAGAAATTCCATCTCTAGGATAAATCAACTAAATTTGGTCAGTTTCGTAATCTATATTCGAAAATATTTTACGCGAACTAAAATGTGTGCAGTCATAGGATTTCTGTCACCCTCTCCTAACCTCTCTCTCAACTGCAGATGCCACCTCTTAAAGCAAAAATTTACTGTTTTCCCAAGGTTTGCATGGGTATATACAACAGAACTATTAACAAGCAAGTGGAAAGATACATTTTCGATGACATATGAGACAAAAACTCTAATAAATCACGGACAAGGGGGACAACGCTCAGAAAGCATAATTAGTGAATACATATAACTAAGTGAAATTCACAAGGAAAACACTTCTTTGATAAGTAGCAGTAAAAGATTACAAGAAAAGATTACTGTTTCATTCTTACATGCGGGATTCAGGATCCTTCCGAGGATCATAACCTTTCCTTATCCAGAATCTACGGAAAGGCCCACTCGAAAAGTAATATGCTACTCTAAAGAGAAGCCTGCATAATGACGGAGATAGACCAAAAATTTATACTATGAACAGTATCATTTCCAAGACTTAATCCAAATGATAGAAGTGAAGACTGTATAAGAATTTCATATGCTACCTTTTGATCCTGCCCTCTCCAAGCTTCAGACCCCCATCACGCAAGCGCTCAGCTAATGATTCTTTGACCCATATTTGACGCTCTTCAAACAACTCAGATACCACCTTCTGCCGTCTCCAATCTTCTGATCCCTGCAGTATGTGCTTTTCCCAATCCACTGGTTTAGGAATCTGTATGAATGTTAAGCAGAACAACCAGGCAGCTGCAATACCATCATACTGCAGAGTGACTTTATTGTTTTATGTGTTTGTCTTTGTTGAATAAGATGTCAAGCATCCGTCTTTTCAAGATAATATAATCTTCAGTAGACTTCTCTTCACGGATGAAGAAAAGTGCAATTAATGAGTGGCAGCAGAGTTAGTAATGAAAGAGCTTCCCAATTATAGTCAAACCTCTCTATAACAACCATGTTTGTTCCGAATATTTTTGGATGTTATAGCGAAGTGTTGTTATAGAGAACATATATTATAACATAACATGAAAATTAGTTTCGGAACAGTTTGGCTTTTATAGTGAAGTGTTGTTATATAGGGATGTTGTTATAGAGAGGTTTGACTGTATAATTTGTTGATGACTCCCACCACGATTTTACCAAGCCACCAAACTCTTCCACCCTTAAAACATGAAGTACGAGGGCTTATTTTCCCATTCGCTGCACTTCAACAATAGAGGATGCCNGGATCTTGACGGCCGAAAATCTCAGAAAGCGGAAGGTTGTTTGCGTCAGTTGGTGCTACATGTGTAAGGAGGCAGGTGAAGATGTGGATCATCTTCTTCTACATTGCAGTCCAGTAGTGATGGGAGATATGTGTAGTTGGTATGGTGCCTCATAGGTGATGCAAAGAACTGTAAAATAACTGATGTCTAGCTGGAAGACTGGGAGAGGGAGGAGACGGCACAAGGCATAAAATGTTGCTCCACTTGCAATCATGTGGGTCATTTGGAGAGAGAAAAATAGAAGAGCTTTTGAAGGGGTAGAGATGAGCTTTACTCGGCTAAGGAGTAGCATCCGATCCCTTATTTTCTTCTGGTGCACCCATGAAATTCCTTGTTGTATAGATGATTAGGTGACTTTTGCAGGGATTCATATTTTCGTGTAGGTTTTTCTTCTTTTTGGTCTACCTGATCAAAAAAAAGTTCTTAAAGAGGATCAAGAATCTGCAGCTAACTTGTGCTCATCCCTGTTGCAATCTTCATAATTCTACATATATCTCATGATTAGATTCAGTATATAGAAGAGAAAAGAACTGGAAGCTTTCTCGTCAAGGTTAGCAGACATTATTGGAGAAAAATTATATTTCTTCCATTGAGAAAAAAAGGCAGCTCAGTACACAAAGCATCCGCGTTCACGCAGGCTCAGGGAAAGGGCCGCACCCTGGTGTCTTCCATTATGTCAGATTAACTTATATTCGGTTCAACTATTTGGAAAAATGCATTTGAATTCCTTTTCATGACAAATTGTCTTGTTACCGGTTAATATCTTTATTTTTCTTTACATGAGCAAATGTGACTTACATATAAAGTACATGAGTAAGTATTCGCAGTACAAAACAGGAATCTTGGTATATCAGAAAGTATGCGAAACAAAAGGAGCTTTGCCGAAGTGTTACAGAACAAATCAAACATTTGGGAGACCACGGGTCCAAATCTCGGCAGAGACAAAAAGAATAATTTTTTCCCATGTGTTCCCTAGTGGGCAGAGTTACCCATGGTGGGAGGTAGCAGGTACTAGGTGAATTGATTGAGGCACACACAAGCCTGGACACCACTTAGTATCAAGTACCAAAAATCCATTTTTACGCTTTAATTTCAAATCAGCATTAACATTTAACTGATTTTTTTTTCTTTTTGAGAAAGAACAGTTAACTGAATTTACATCGGTTTCATACTAATATACTATTGAGTAAACTACTTTACAGCATTGATCAGTAGTTTATTGCCGTAAGAATAGCGCTAGAATTAAGAATGGAGACAATTTAACATATAGATTAAACGGATCTAACCTATTGTGGTTCTTGCAACATGCAGAAGATCGATAATGACCTACTAACAAGAGCTAGATATCACTAAAAAAAGGCAGACCGGTGCACTAAGCCCCCGCGCAGGGCCGGACCATAAGGGTCTATTGTACGCAACCTTACCCTGCATTTCTGCAAAAGGTTGTTTTCACGGCTCGAACCCTAGACCTCCTGGTCACATGGAGGCAACTTTACCAGTTACGCCAAGGCTCCCCTTCAAGAGCTAGATATCACTAAAGAAAAAAAGAAATTATATTCCCATTAGACTGGAGACACAGGATAAGAGAATGCTTCAAAGGTAATCCGGATCCCTAAATTACTCAAACATGGAAATTTGAAGACACGCTTTCCTTGTTCAGTGCCTAGGCAGCATGACAAAAGATCTGCAGTGTTTTTGTTAAATTGATTGAAAGATTAAAACAAAATTGCAGAAAATATTTGACTGAAAATAAAGAATTTAAAACAAGAGAAAATTCCTCCATGCAGGCAGAAAAAATTACCTCCCAATTTTGCCGGTAAAGCACCTCTTGTTTTCTTTTTGGTGCAAGTGATTCTAATCTGCAATTACAAAAAGTTTGAAATTTACAAATAGGAAGATACCTCTCTTAAAGAGAATGCTTTAACTTAGACAAGGAAAGTGGTCTGCATCACATAACCGATTGTGGTGAGACAACTAACGTTACATGGACTCTCCATTTGCCTCTGTGTCGATCAGTTGTTATGCGTAATACGTGCAAATCCTCAAAGTACTCTAAAATCATGATAAAAGTTGAATCTACCGACAACGGATACTTATGCCCGCAGCAAATACATATCCATACCCAAGTCCATATAACGTAGGAGACAACAGAGAATAGAGGAGGAAGAGAAGAAAACCAGACACTTTTCCACCAACAGCAACTGAGACAGAGAGAGAGAGAGAGAGAGAGAGAGAGAGAGGGAGAAACAGACTGAGACACATAACAGAGAGGGTAAGAAGTGGTGGATTGCTAAAACCATGGTGCAACAAGAATGTGTGCATAGGTATACAATGTCTAACATTAGTTAAAACTGTAAGAACAGATTAACAAGCCAGAGCATCATACACAATATTCTCAGGCATATCTTTTAAGGAGAACAGAGGAGGTAGTAAAATCATCAAATCCTCCTGATCGACATCCATAAGACCTCCCTTCTCTACAAGCAGTAAACTCAAGAAATTAGGTATTGGAACAGAGGATTTCCCACATTTTGAAATTGCTGGAATAATCAGAGAATGGCTGACCAAATTTAGGTTCCACCTCTGCCCACTGTCTCTTTTTTCTTCTGGCAACATCAGCCTGAACGGCAAGAACATGCTGATAGTCTACCATTCCTTTGAAAGCAGCACAATTGTGCACACAGAAGAAAAAAGGGGAACAAGAAATTATAAAGTTAATATGTGCTCAAAGAAAAGCAGAAAGACAAACTGGGGAACATGAAGTGGTCTAACATTAAAAATTAGTTCTCACCATTAAAATGATAAGCTTCAGCAACATGAGAAACAATATTAGCTGAGAGATGCTCCTGCAATTTAGTAGCATTCTGCACTTCAATTTCTTTTGAAGCACTAGCAGAAAAACATCTAGACTCGTTAACCTTTTCTGCAGCTAATGAATGTCCAACACGAGAAATTTCTTGTTCACAATTAACAGGACTCCCTGAAGATTGCATCGATATTCCACAGCTATTGTCAGCAGTTTCGACATCCCTTACTTTAGTCTTGGATATTTTCAACAGGAAATTACTTCTATGCCTAAGCTCCCCAAAGGCAGGGTGTGAATAAGGATCTTCTGGCCGGAAATGGAGCTCCAGCTTATTTGACTGTGAAGTTCGAGCCTGAAATTAAAAGGAGAGTCAGCAACAATCAGATTCTAAGATTAATTGACATCAAATTTACCACATGTCTATAAAGCCAATTAGCCAGCCATTAGTATAACTATTAGTTCACAAACATCAGGGTGCTCCATAAAGTGCTTCTTTTGGAGTAAATTTACACTTCTCATGAGTTACATTCTTAATGCATGAAACCTACGACTACTTACATCAATTTTCAACTTTTTTGATCAAGTGGTAATGAAAAAGGATAGCAAGCGGAATAGAATTTGAAACAATATTTAATGAGCAATCTCAAAGGAATCCATTATGACATGCACCATTAGTACCACCAGTTGAGTAACTTTATAGAAGCTCGATCCTTTTTTGCTTTTATTGGGCTAAAGCAGTAAGGAATGTTTTCAAATTTCCACCATAACCAGGTGAAAAAGGACACCTAAGTTCTCACTGCTCCTGGAAAGTGAATTAGACAAGTGGAACTATTAAATGAACTTGCTCTTCCTTGACTGGATTTGCAAAGCAAAAAAGAATTAAAAGAAAAGGTACTCATAATAGCACAGAATGAGACTAAGAATTGAACTTTCAAATTCCAATGCGGTTGTACATACAACAAAATGTGTAATACCTTGACAATGCCTTGAATGCCGCCAAGAGTCTCAATGGCACGTTCCATTGAAGAAGGGTAAGCAGGGTAATGAACAGCAAAGACCTTGTCACTGGGTAAAACTCCTGATACTGAACCATCATCTTTTATAATCCCCATAATCTGTTATAAAACCAGCAAAAATTCAATGTCTCACATCCGAAATTTTGCTAAAAAACTTGGTTTTCTGATTCTTTTGTCCAGAAATTGTCTTACCCGTTGTGGAGAGGAGCTATGGGGTAGAGAGGAAAGTGTTTCTCTGAATGAAGTGTTTGTATACTGATGTTTCTGCTTGCCACTTTCCAAAGGGTAGAGTTAATCCTTACACAAAATTTTCCATTATTAATACTAGGCAGACCCAATGACTTTTGCTGTATATTTGTATTGAAAGATTCACTGCTAGCAAATGGGGTTTGGGTTCAGTGGTAAGGGATTTGGTTATGCGTTATTTTGTTCTTTTTACATAATTTTTTTAAAATAAAATAAAAAACACGCTAAACAACAGCTCCAAACGAAGAAGCCTACTGTTTCCTTTAGAATTACCATTTTTCCTTTTTAATAAACAAAACATTGTTACTCTTGTTCCATCATCTTCATCTCGAATGCTTAATAACATATTCAATGACATATTTTGTATGTTCAATGATATATTCCATGACATATTTTTTCTACTTTTTATGCCTATATAAAGGCTTTGTAATAGATAGTAAAATACACACAATTGAAGAAGAAAATCTCTTTCTTCTCTCTATCTCCATTTCTTATTCGTGTTTTACTAAATTGCTTTTATTTCCTTGTTCCATATTGTTACTTTGAGTTATATTTCATAACACATTATCAGCACGAGTCTCTAACCAATTCTATATATATCTACAAAATTGTCCTACATCCGGAAAGATTGCAATCACAAGTCATACATATCATTTCATGGTTGAAAGTAAAGAGAAACTACACATGGTAAGTAATGAAACATAAGAAGGTATGATTATCTTATACTTGTCATTCCTCTAATGTCTCGTATGCACACAACTTCATACCATACATGTATTGCATAAGCACATATTAATATTACATCTTTCATATCATATGAATGGAATAAAATTTTTGAAGTTCTATAAGTGAAAATTATAGTAACGGTTAATTGTTGATATGAGGCATGTCATGATAACCAAGGATATGTTATATAAGTTGTTTTATGCATATTTGTGTCTTACCTGTCTTAAATCTGTCCTACCACTTTTAACATTTTCTTTTACTTGGATGAATATTTTTCTCTTTTGGATTTTTGTACTTGCATATAGTACCAAAAAAGGGGGGAGTGTCACGACCCAAACCGAAGGGCCGCGACGGGCACCCGGTGCTTTACTCAACCGAGTACCAACGTAACATATCTTTCTTATCATGTTATCATGAGTAAATGAGCCAGAAAACCCGTCATGAGATAACAAGAATAAAACATAAGAGAATACTCAACGTATGAAAACCCAACATGATATACAAACTAATATATGTGACATACGGGCCTATAAGGCCAACATGACCATTAGTAAA